TGTAGGGTTTCTCACCGGTGTGTTTTAGTACATGTCTGTCCAAATGAGCTTTCCATGCTGCAGAATAGTTACACTGGTCACACTTGAAGGGTTTTTCTCCTGTATGGGTTCTCATGTGCATGGATAAGTGAGACTTTTTTGATGTCCTGTACCCACACTCCCCACACGTGTAGGGTTTGTCACCAGTGTGTTTTGCTAGATGATTGTCCAAACTGGATTTCTGTGCAGCAGAATAGTCACACTGGTCACACTTGTAGGGTTTTTCTCCTGTATGGGTCCTCATATGTCGGGATAAGTGAGATTTCTTTGTTGCCCTGTACCCACACTCCCCACACATGTAGGGTTTCTCACCGGTGTGTTTTGTGAGATGATCGTCTAAATGAGACTTCCGTGCTGCAGAATAGTCACACTGGTCACATTTGTAGGGTTTCTCTCGTATATGGGTTCTCATATGTTTGGATAAGTCAGACTTGTGAGCTGTCCTGTGTCCACACTCCCCACACATGTAGGGTTTCTCACCGGTGTGTTTTACTAGATGTAAGTCTAAATCATATTTACGTGCTGCAGAATAGTCACACTGGTCACACTTGTAGGGTTTTTCTCCTGTATGAGTTCTCATGTGCATGGATAAGTGAGACTTTTTTGATGTCCTGTACCCACACTCCCCACAAATATAGGATTTCTCACCAGTGTGTTTTGCTAGATGATTGTCCAAACTGGATTTCTGTGCAGCAGAATAGTCACATTGATCACACTTGTATGGTTTTTCTCCTGTATGGGTCCTGATATGTCGGGATAAGTGAGACCTGTCAGCTGTCCTGTACCCACATTCCCCACACATGTAGGGTTTCTCACCGGTGTGTTTTGCTACATGTTCCTCTAAGTGAGATTTCCGTGCTGCAGAATAGTCACACTGGTCACATTTGTAGGGTTTCTCACCGGTGTGTTTTGCTAGATGTTTATCCAAATCAGATTTCTGTGCAGCAGAATAGTCACACTGGTCACACTTGTAGGGCTTTTCTCCTGTATGGGTCCTCATATGTCGGGATAAGTGAAATTTCTTAGTTGCCCTGTACCCACACTCCCCACACATGTAGGGTTTCTCACCAGCGTTATTCAAGTTGACTTGTGTTGCTGCCTGGTCTTGAACATCGCTTGTTTTGCTGTCACAGTTGACCTGAGAAACCCCGGTGGGAGACGCATTACAGCAGTTCTGACTAACTCCGGTGTGAGACCCGTGTCCTGCCATTGCCATGTTCAGCCTAATGAAAAAATGAAATTAAAAAGATCAAGCTTTAAATGCTGTCAATAATAAAATTGGCTTTTTACAAAAAAAGTTCAAAGAGTTCCGACTTTAACATGCTCTACAATATCAACATAATATATAACAACGTAACCCAACATAATTCTAACGTGTTGTCTTTCTCGCATTTGAATAAATTTGCTTCTATGTTGTTCCAAAATCATAATTTGAGATCTTACAATCACTCACTCACACCACCAATCTCTTAAAACATTTTATATCATATTATTTATTACTTCTACGACTACGAACAATGGGTAAAATGCATGACTCCATTCGCTAGGCTGGAAAGAGAGTCGGCAGTATAGCCTATAGGTTTGGTCACCAGGCTTCTCTATTTACTGTTTTTACAAATCAGTTCTACGAGTTTCTAGATTTTGTAATGTACGCCTTGTGCGATTCTTTACAATACAATTAACATTTCTATATAATTTCACGTACTCTAAAAAGGCCACTTTGCCTGATGCAAATCGACGTACATGTAAGTGGCGAGGGTCGAACGTATGTTAGGTTTCGCCCCCCTCCCCCTTTAATTCAACGATATTCACATCCCGAAAATGCCTACAAATTATCATCCTACTGCGGTTCTTCTTCCACAGAAATGGTCTTAAACTATTCCCCTCAACATCAGAATACTTTTCTGTCCGTTTCTAAGTCTTACCTGCTTCCTATGATGGTTTTTCTCTTCACGTAAACCGGAACTCGGGCAGCTTTGTCCTTCTGTCGTCTCGTGAGGTCGGAGGTAAACGCCCTTTAGGTCAAAGGTGAAGTTGTCGACCTGATTACCCATGTAGTACATTTTGATGTCAGTTGGCACGTTACGTGTTTCTTCAAAATGTCAACGTTCTGCGTTTCAAACCGACCACCTTAACAACGTAACACGCGTCTAACTTTTGTTTCTGATCTAATACGAAAGAGATAATTTAAGGTAATAAATGTCACGCCAAACTGTTTGGCCTGAATCTTGATTTCTGTGTTTTATGATCAACTCACCACCTCTGACAATATTTCATCCAAGGAAAAAAATGCAACACAGAAGGAAACATTATGTTCAAGCTACTACACAATTTAATAATGTCAGTGATAAATATCTAGATCTAGATACATCTTCGAAAAAAAAACAGGAAATTTACTTGTATACAACCTATCGTCTACCTTTTCAATGGCGTAAAATTACTTCCTACTTTGGAAACTGAAGCACATCAGTCATTTTACACTGTTACAAATCAATACCATTAGCTTTTATGTTTTATCCTAACAAATCCTAGTAGTTTAAAGAGTTGATAGTCACAAGATATAATTGTGTTTGTAGGACATATAGGCAAACACTTCGTGACAGGAACTACTAGTAGATAAACAGAAAATCTAAGCTCGTACACACACAACACTAACGTCTACATTCCAACTACTGTGTACAAACACAGCACTAATGTCTACCTTTCAGCTTCAACTATTGTGTACAATCACTTACCGATGTTAATTACTGATTATGTATATGTACATTATCCAATCAATACTATAACGCTTACTATTCTCACTCTCAATTCTAGGTAGCTAAAATAGATTTTGATATCTCATATTACAACAAAGTATATGGCCTACTAAGCGAAACTAAGACTTATTCTTGTACCTAAATTATAGCCATAACTTATTAGATATTAAAGTGAACAAGCATAGGGCTTTCTCGTGGGAAAACCTTTGCCTACTTGCAAACATCATGAATTCTTACAGAATATTCAGCCTATATCTTAATAAACATAACTGTCATATACCCTTAAGATTCGTATCAAAATATTAAGTAGAGAAACTGCAGTTAACAGCAGACTGAGCGTACTAAATGTCACTACGAGATGGTCACAGTTGCAGACTTGGTGCCTCTGTGTGGATTTTCATATGTCGAGTTAGGGAAGTCTTAGAGGCTGAAGAATAGCTACACTGGTCACACTTGTATTGGTTTTCTC